CTTGAGATGAAGAGCTGAGGGACAGCGCCCAGGCCCAGAGTTCAGGCCCTACGACCGGACCCAAAAAACAAAAACAAAAAGTCTCAGGAACAGGACTAGAGTCCTGAGTTCAAGCCTCAGTACTGGTGCAGGGACATAAAAAAATTCCAAACAGCCAATTTTTACTCAAGAAATCTTGATATTGAAAGAGATCTCTGCTTCTATTTCTAGTTTTTTCCACTCATGACCCTATATCTTGGATTTTTTTCTTTAAGAAGTTTGTTCTTAAGTTGTCATTACTTTTTCTTCCTTTTGTGTATGTGTGCCAGTCCTCAGCTTTGAACTCACTGCCTAGATGCTGTCTCCCTGAGATTTTTTGCTCTACTGCTTGAGCCAGAAATCCATTTCCAGATTTTTTTGGTGGTTAATTGGAGATGAGTCTCAGATTTTTCTTCACATGCTGGCTTTGAACTATGATCCTCAGATCTCAGCTTCCTGTGTAGCTAGGATTATAAGCATGAGCCACCAGTGCCCAGACTTTCATTACTGTCTTTATGAGTACCATACCTGTTTTGGATCCAGTGTACACAAAAGACATTTCATTAGTTTTAATGCTGCCCTTTCCAGTATTATGGACACGAGGATAGGAAGGTTTCCTAGAATTTCCACAAATGTTCAACTTAAAATCTCTCCCATTTTAAATGGGCTTTCCTATTACCATCCCAAATTTAGTTGATATTTCTTTCTATACTTCATCTGGAAGTTCCACTTCAGATGCCTGTGCTTTATCTTCAGCCAACGATACTGTGGTCACAGGGCCAAAACCCAGCCTTGACTTCTCTGTTGGAATCACAGTGAAATTTTCCTCAGAAGGGAGATATTGGGAAATTACATAGTTGAGAAAAGAGATGATCCCTAGAGATGGACAAAAAATTGAGATGAAGTTGAATAGTAGATGATGTTTTGTCTTTTAAAAGTTCTTACTGGGCTGGGAAGGTGGCTCAGTGGTAGAGAGCTTGCCTTTCATGCATGAGCCCCTGGATTCAAATCCTCAGGATCACATAAGCAGAAAAAGTTGGAAGTAGTACTGTAGCTCAAAGTGGTAGAGTGTTAGCCTTGAGCTAAAGAGCTGAGGGACAGCGCCCGGGCCCAGAGTTCAGGCCCCAGGACCAACCAAAAAAAAAAAAAAAAAAAGGTCTTACTGCCTGGTGCCAATGGCTTATGCCTGTAATCCTAGCTACTGGAGGCTGAGATCTGAGGATCAAAGCCAGCCTGGGCAGGAAAGTCCGTGGGACTTATCTCCAGTTAACCAGAAGTGGCGCTGTGCCTCAAGTGGTAGAGCATTAGCCTTGATCTGAAGAGCTCAGGGACAGCACGTAGGCCCAGAGTTCAAGCCCCACAATTGACCAAAAAAAGAAGGAAGAAAGGAAGGGAGGAAGGAAGGAAGGAAAAAGGAAAGAAAAGAAAAAGAAGCTCAGGGACTGTTTACAGGCTCTTGAGTTCAAGCCCTAGGAGTAGAAAAAAAAGCTCAGGGACAGTGCCCAGGTCCTGACTTCAAGCCCCACAACCAACCAACCACACACACACATTCACACACAAAAGTTTTTACTCATTCTTTAATACTCAGTTCCAAAGGCCTTTTGTTTCTCTTTAAACTCCAATGCTCCTATTTGCATTTACAGTAGTATTTCAGTTTGGTCAGGCTACAGCTTGAATCTTTTGGATTTAAATAATGGTTCAAATGTTTTCTTGTGGTCTTGAACAAATTATACAACCTATCATAGCCCACTTGGTGAGAAAACAGCTTACTAATTCTAGGTTTTCAGACTATATCCATACCACACTGCCTCTCCGTGTACAAATAAATGCTTAGAAGATGAAACCTTCACCTCCCTTTCCAGAAATGTGTTTCCTTTTCATGTTTGCAGCACAGGACAGGGGGTCTGACTCACCTGCACACACGTATAGGATGGTACTCCACCAATTAAGATAATAGGGCCATAGGAAATTGGACTCCATGACATCCGTTCGATGCCAGTGAACCTGTGCCAGAAACAGGTAGAGGCAGAGGAACAAGCAGAAGGCTGGGACCAGAAGAAAAGATTTTACAACCTATCAGCATCTTCAGTGTACCTTGATTGTCACCCCCAGTCCTCTGCCTGTAGGATCATATACCTAGCAAGAATCAAATGATAAAAGCTGGGCACTGGTGGCTCATGCCAGTATTCCTAGCTACTCAGGAGGCTGAGATTTAAGGACCCAGGTTGGAAGCCAACCCAGGTAGGAGACTGACAATCTTATTTCCAATTAACTACTAGAAAACTGGAAGTGGAACTGTGGCTCAAAGTGGTAGAGTTCTAGTGTTGAGCAAAAGAAGCTCAGGGACAGTGCCCAGACCCTGAGTTCAAGCCCCAGGATTGGCCAAAAAAAAAAGTATAAGAAAAAAGGTTGAGAGCCGGGCACCGGTAGCTCATGCCTATAATCCTAGCTATTCAGGAGACTGAGATCTGAGGATCACGGTTCAAAGCCATCCCAGGCAGGAAAGTCCATGAGACTCTTATCTCCAATAAACCACTAGAAAACTGGAAGTGGTGCTGTGGTTCAAGTGGTAGAGCGCTTGCCTTGAGCTGAAGAGCTCAGGGAAACACCCAAACCTAGAGTTCAAGCCCCACGACCGACCAAAAAAGAAAAGAAAAAAGGTTGAGAAGCCCCAGAGACACTGCATTACCTTGCCAGTCTAGGTTAGTACCTGTTAAGAAGCTGAGCAGAGATTCCTTCATATCCAAGTTGGTGATCATGCTTTCTCTTCCATGGAAACAAGAGCTAAAGAGCCAGCCAAGAGCAAAAAGTATGGCAAAGACAGAGATGAGGCAGAAGACCCTGGAGCTCTGGAGATAATCTATGGGAATAAGAAGAAAGGAAGGGCCTGGTTAGACCAAAGGACATATTGCTTCAGGAAGCCACAGAGGATCTTTTTTTTTTT